ACATTATTTGTTGATTTCTTTCCGAGCGCACCAAACTTTTAATGATTTCCGCTATGTACAATTGCAAAGCTAGAGCCATTTGTATATTGGATGGTTCCGAAACTGATGGAAGCAAGTGTAACATTCCGACAACTATGCCAGGGTGTACCACTATTGGCTCGGGAGTAGGAGGACTCAGATTTAAAGAGTTTATGACAGTTCTCTTACCGCTACCCGGAGAATCAAAAGATTTTTGTTGCTAAAAATAAATATACGATATAGCGCAAGTCAACGTACGTTCTAAAATGTGAATTGCAAATTTACCTCGACGCTATTTTGTTTATGACTCGGCGACCTCATTCCTAAGCCTGCCAAATTTGGCTTATCGAAAGAGTCGAGCGCTACATCGTAGAGAAGACGTAGCAATAAACATGCATACGCGAGCGTCTTTGGCATGATGTCTGGGAATATGGGTTCTAATACACTCCCAGTAAATAGCAACAATAACATGTTGTGGTAGTTCGTGGTTGGTATTAAATCTATTTCCTTAAGTTTCGTTTGTGTCGAGAAACACCCAAGAAGTCGTAGAGTGTCACACAAACTCGATTGGCATATCTATACAACGATCATTACATTTTAACGGGTTACTATAAATTTACAAGTTTGATTTACAAATTTGAATTAACAATAATAATCAAAAATTCACCTCGTGATGGAAAAATTTCGCGTTCGCTGGTTCGAATCTCATAGCTGTACTTATTGTGTGAAATACGACGTGTAAGAGTGTCAGCAACTGTGTCTCTTCCTGTGGTGTTCGTTTTATTACGTCGTTGCAAGGTTCTATACCATCGGATCTTTGCGTACCCAATTGACCTTCCAAAGATACTAAAACGGACATCACGTAAACAAAACCTCCCACTTTCCGAAAGACAGTTCTGGTTCGGTGCGACTCCCTCAAGCAAGCCAACAAAGACTAAAAAATCACAATATTTTATAATATTTGTAGTATCATTAAAAATTTTAATGATTGCTATTAGTATCCGGAAACAAACTTTTAATATATGCGTCTTTAAGACTAAGGCATGGGAAGGTGCTGAATGCATGACACCTAGTAATGTAGCCATATCATCGTCTCCCCCTGCACTAAGTATTAATTCTCTAACAATGCCAAGCGCTTGATATCGACAGTCTGTGTAGGGCACGAGATTATGAGCGCAACGCGCTCCGCCGCACTCCCTGAAGACATTAGCATTTTGAACATTGCCTGCTAATAATGTCGTCAGAGCTTCCATTACTAAGGCACCCAATCGTTCATCTTCTGGGCATATTTTGTATTCTAAAAGAAAAAAAAATATTCGATCACTTCGAATTTTCACGGAAAACATAAAAATAATGAATCCCCACCTAATCCTTGATCATGCGCAGCTTGCTTATCCTTAAGTAAAGTTGCGTAACGGTGAAGACACGTAACAAACACTTCTAACATACCTACTTCTCTGTACACATCTTTAAATATATTGTTATGTCTAAAAGAAGACAACCGGTTAGAAACCAATAGAGAAAATTTAACCGGGATGTACTTGGTATATTACCTGAGTATATTGAGGAGTGTTTCCATGCACAAGATACTGCAGCTAGTCGAATTATTCGTTTTTAATAGTATAGACAAAGATATAAGTTCCTTGCAAGGCACGAAATTAAGTTGAAACACTATGAATTCTAGCAACTGAAAGAACTTTTCTTGTATTTCTCGATTTTTTAAGTGGATCTTTTCTGCGAATTCGGACAATGTGTACTGTCCCTCGAGTATAAAATAATTGGCATTATCACTGTGATATACGCTAGATATTGCATCGAGGATAGTACAACATAAAAGTGGTGAATTAGACTTTACAAATACGGATTGTAGTACTTGGAACGCTTGGATATTTCGAACACTTCCTCCTGTAATAACAGCAATACTTTAAAGTAGAATTTTCTTAGTAGAAGATTACAGTCTAAGATAATTTTTGCATGATTAAATTATTATACCTCTGTTACTTGGTTGAGGTAAAGTAAAGCCAAGCATCTGAAATAAAGATCCCATGCTAGCTTGACTTGGCTTCAATTCTGTATGACCACACATCGTTAAAGATGCCAGCATAAGAACTAAATTCCGAATGGCATCCTGTGCTTCCGCTCTACTATCTTGTTCTAATCTCGATGGAGCGTGCCTGTAAAATATACATATTTATAAAATACGGAATAAATAACTGTATCCAAGTTAGCAAATCATTTCCAACTCTTACTTCAATAAAAATTCCGATAGAAACATATATCCTTGACAAGCGCGAAAATCGTCCAGAAGCGTTTGCGATACTTCACTGGAATCTTTTAAAAAACAAAATACCGTGACGAACATTTCTACTACTTCCAATGGTGCCAGCTCAGGTACACGTTGCATATTATCAACACAAAGTGCTATACATCCTTTATCTATAATTTAAATGATATTATTTAACACAAAATCAAATTATACGAAAAACTGCCGTAACTATCATAAATACAAAGAGAAACTTACTGTGGATGTAGCTCACTACATTCTGGGTAAGTCCATGTCGAGATAGAGTCATTAATACTTCTGCCGCGCTTTTACGCCACATCACATTGTAGTGAGGACACCAACTAGTTATTGCTGAGAATAATAACGTAAGGTCATCTTTACGGGCGAGCTCTTCCGCTGGATACGGATGACTACATAATCTCACCAACAACTGTGAATTAATGGTAGATCAATTGTGCGATTAGGAAGTTTACCGACATATTAAGGTATATTTAAGACAATCAAGAAACAAATATTTACTTGAACAAATATTTTCTGTAACAGTATTCTACGTTGCTTTGGAGTAAATTCGCTATTCGTATCTGTAATATCGGCTTCGTCCTCGATCATTTCAGGCAAATCGAAAAATAAATACAAACATTTTACCAATGTCGACGGGACAGAAGCGGTAGTCATGGCCTGATAAAGTATACAAATCGTATTAGTATTAATATTAACAACAAAAGCAGCGTATTTATGTCAGCCGTACCTGTATTAGAGAAGTATCGCCTGCTGCAAGTAAATTCAGCGCGGATAGTAGCATCCAACCATTGCTCGACTCCTCGCTGTTTTCAATTTCTAAAAATTTTACAATGGCACAACTTGCTGTTTCAGTACTTTGATTGCTTGCCCTTCTCCTAATTTCAGACACCATTAATCTAGACACTTGTTGTGTAAATGCCAGAATGTCCCAAAACTTCTCGCTCATATCACCTGCTGGACTAGACCCAAATACCTAAAAATTGTATTAGTTTTATTACTTGTTATATATATGTTAAATATGTACACATCTGCTGATACCTTTAAAGCATGAGAACTTACTTTGCAAAATAATGGCAACATATTATATAGCTTATCATCGCGCTCAGCATCTGAGAGGGGATGCAGAGGATGGGTATACTCAGAAAAAAGTTTCTTAAGGTGCATGAGACCCAATGCGGTATGCTGAGGATTTGTAGCTCCCACGCAATCATCTATACTGCCGGCACTGCTAGAACCCATTCCTCCGACGCTGGTACTCCCTCGTAACTTACGCATTATGTTCATACTTATAATTTGCTAAAAAAATACAAAATAGAAATTATACATGATGCTATTAAATAAAGATTAAGGTTCCATTAAATAAAACATATGGTTCTAGTACAGTTGAAACTTACATTATCCATTTTAGGATGGATATTACACAGATTATAATTGTTACATTTTATATGTTTCACAGAATGAAACCTACACTCTCAATTCATTGGTGGTTTTATAAGATACAGTCTAACAATGTAAAGCATCTTGTAAGAAGACACGTAACAAATCTTTATTATACCCTAGCAAAAAATTAATGAAATAACAGAAATACAATATAAAGTATAAAACTGATAACAATAGAAACTTTAATTTCGTGTAAGTTGAAGTAACATGGAATCATCTGTGACATTATGATACATATACATATATATATATAATTTGTTAATATTCGTAGTAGTCATATCATACAAATTTTGTGCAAACGAGATCAATCGTCATTGGTCTTTCAATTATTAAGGAATACCAAAAAACCAATAAATCATAAAAGAATATTTTAGAGCGTTGTGCGAAGACAAAGTAACGCGAATATACGTTACCACGGCGATAATATTAAAAATGATCAAATACTCGGTATCGTGTACTGTTGTACGGCAAGTATATTCGAAAAAAGACAAATATGGAAACCGTGAAAAGAAAACCGCACAAAAAAATCAGTGAACGTTAAAACAGTAATCGTTCGATCCGTTATAGCTTATTGTGCTGTCATTCGAAATGTTAACATATCGAAGAACATATAACAGGTGAAAATGGCACATAGTGGCGTCAGACGAATGGAAAACATTGTTTCACGATTCATCGAACACGACCAATCAATTTTTCGCGCGCGTGTCACGATAATTTTTTCACTTTCAATCGGTGACAGTGACGTTCATCGAACGCTCGGCTCAATATTTACGTCTGTCGCCTGTCAAAATGTCAAGCTAGGGTGGTCGAATATAAAACGACTCTCCGTAACCGCCCACGATATTTCGCGTACAAGAAACGCGCGAACACACGACAGACTCGCTGATAACAGATCGGCTATTACCTGGAACGCGTCGCAACCCAGGAAATTCTACATTTTCTTTCGGAAAATTACTATTTCTGTGAGAGTATTTAATATTTCAGTGGTAGTAGCCATCTTCGTATTCGACGGTCGAATTTCGACCCTCCACGGCCGACGCGATACGTCGATAAATATCACGTGACATCAATGGTCGCGAGATTCTTCACTTTTCGAATCCGTTGAAAGAGTATCTATTTAAAACGATAATTCGGGGATTTTTATTTTAAATAGTACCAAACGAATTTATTTATACATATAGGGGGGATGTATTTTTACTCGATCGATACTTTGATAACCTAAGAACAAATACAGAAAGAAACGAAAACAGTTTTGCGATTTATTATCTTGTAATTACATTGATCGTCGATCAGATTCCAATTGAAGATGTCACCATAATCTGCATATGAATGGTACAACCAATACCTTATTAAGTTCTTTCGTTATATTAATTATACTGAATTGTGATTGCGGGTGCTTAAAATAAAGAGCATCGATTGCAATAACAGATGTCAGTATATTTGCAAATTTATTTACAATAACTTTTTAATTTGCTAGTAGTTTCCTATATACAAAATACGTGTGATAAGAAAATCTTATGTTAAACGATCTTTGAAAGAAACGTTTAGTCCTAAATATTTCAGTATCTTCGCGATGTTTAATGGAAAAAATCTGTAATTGTTGTCTGTCCAATTTTTTTAGTCGATGAATTGCGTTTGCAGGATACCGTAGATGTTTCGTTTAAAATTTGAATAAATTTACATGTGTGATTCGATTCGGTAGATGTTGGTTGACCCTCGTCGTTTGGTAATATATCGCAATTGTTACTTGCCTGATGAGAAAGCTCTTGGTTTGTATCTAATACTTCGAGACCAGATAGTCGCTGTTTGTGAATCATTTTAGTTTTTCCCGTGTCTTCTGAAATTTTCCATAAAGATGGCTTTCTTTTCTTCTCTGTATCAACTTTATCTTGATCTTGATCCGCTTTTTCATCTATGCTATCGCTGTTTTCAATTTGTTCTTTTCCCAGAATATTTTTAACTTCGACGTACTCCTCCTTTACGGATTCCGTTTTCTCCTTATTTACAATATCTTCGTCATAATTAGCTAACCATTCTTGAATTCTTTCTTCTTCCGTTTGTTGTCGTTTAAAATTAAAGTGAAAAGACTGCTTGTCGTTGATATTAACGCTTTTACTTGTTTTAAAAATATCTTCTTTCACCACGGAAATCTTTGTTTGCTGATTTTTATTTAAATACTGCGACAGAGGTTTTATTTTACTTCGATTATGTAAAAAATGATAAAAATCCAAATCCCCGGTTGGAGCGAATTCTTGGTACTGTATCAATAAAGAAAATATATGGGCTGAAAAAAAGATGATATCGTGAATTTCTGCGTATGTTCGGAATATTTTAATTAAGTTTTCGCGTTTATCGATACCTATGTTTGTCTCGTGTGCTACAAAATGCGAATACATTTCGGCGATATCATCTCGTAAGTTTGTATCTCCGAAAGTAAAATAAACCATACTTCGACCTGTTACAGCCGCAGCCATTAGCTGCAATAATACTTTTAATTTTGAATTTCCGCGAAATGCTCCGCATCCCCAATTTCCGGTTGCTATAGCAGGGAGATTGTTCCTATTACTTTCACATCCAACGAATCCGACATATGCCTAGTAAAATAAGATTTTATCAAGTATATAATTAATCGACTGTCACCATAATCTGCATATGAATGTTACAACCAATACCTTATTAAGTTCTCTCGTTATGTTATTTATACTGAATTGTGATTGCGGGTGCTTAAAATAAAGAGCATCGATTGCAACAACAGATGTCAGTCGTCGTCCACTGCTATCCCGAGGTGTTTCGTCAACATAGTCACCCAACCATTTAAAAGTGTTACTATAACCTTTGTATGTACTATATCTCTCGACGCCACTAACAATTAGCGCTTCCGTATCATCTAATTCTTCCGTAACAAGCATCGTTACCATTAATTCTGGACAGATTACAAATCTTATCTCCTCTTGTACGCATCCTAAGCCGAGAACACCGCCACCTACGTATCTAAAAACGTTTTTAATTTATAACGAATATAAATTTAAATTAATTTTATTTAGTAACGATCTCAATAACGTTCATTACTTATTAGCGAAATCCACTTGCAGGAGTCCAGCTCCTTCTGTTTCTATCGTTCCTTTGCTTGTAATGTGTAACGGTGGAAGTTTTTGTACTTGTTCGCCCCATTTCGGACAATCTGACTTAGGTATATAACGTCGTTGAATTGTTACTACACCCTCTGGGGCTACTCTATGGAAAAATTATGGTACAGTTCAAATTCCTCTTTTCTTTAATAAAATTGAATCGAGTAAACGCGATACATTCGTTCGTTACTTATGCGTCTAAGGTGAATCATAACGCACCTGTAGATGTCACCCTTCTGAAATAATGTACTATACATTTCATTTTTTCCATTACTGACTCGCACCTGTTCCACTTTTCCTCTTTATATGCTGAAAACAACCTATATAAATGTATTCATAAAGTATTCAAAATATATAGTTAGAACAAAGCCTTAAGTATCATTTAATGAAATACCTATTGAAATTGATCTGTGGGTATGTTCCATATTCAGACTGCGGCTTAGTCGAATTACGTCTTGGAAATGTGCAGAAAAATGCATTAGCCAGTAAAGAGGCTATTTGTAATTGGCTAAGACTGATTGCTGCATTAGTGTGATGTTTCAAAAGAGGCACAGGACCAGTTACCAAAACAGGAAGTTGTAAAGCAAGTTGAATCATTTTTGGCAATAGTACAGCAAAGAAAATATTTGTTTCTTCTTCATCAGCTACCTGTAGTTTAAAATTATATGGTCAGAATATTCAATGGGTATGTTCCAAATAAGATATACACAATTGTAAACACTACCTCGGAAAAGAAATGATGCAGTGCTGCAAAGTCCCAGCGTTGTGCATATATGTGATTATAAGAAAGTATTGCACTTTCTAGTTGTTGAGTTGAAACAAAATTCCTAAGTAGTGATTCCTGTATTATTTCCCATCTATTTCGGCAACGAGGAGTTTTATTCTATAATAAGACCCAAATTAAATATGGATAGTACTTAGGAAATGTATAAGTATAAATACTACATGCCTGATCTATTGGATATACATTATGTTTGGAATGTGGCATTCGTACATAACCCTGGCACCATTTATCCACTTGATGTGCAGGATAAGGTTTTGGTGTTCCACGAGCAGGTAATGGTAACTAATATCAGAAAATTCACAAATGAAAATGTAGCTTTTAAACAGAAAATTGTAGTTTAAATTTAATTCTCACCAATATTAATACTGTATGAGATATAGAAGGAACTATGGGAGAAAGTTCTTGGCAATCATATATACCCAAGCCTTTTCGAATCTCGTCCATGCTCATGCCTTTCCATTCAAATACACCATCTGAAGGTTCCGGTTCGTTAGCATCAATGGACATCGAGCGTGCTTCGTGAAATCAAACACAGTCGTGTAAAAAATGTAAAGAACTGCATAAGAAATATTCTATATGTTACATATCTTACAATCATCGGAATTTTCGGGGTTATTTGTCATGTCTACATCATCGAAAACGTCTGGTGAAAGCACTTCCTCGTCGAAAGATAATCCAGGTTCCGACATCGCAATGGTTTAACTAAAAACATTACGAATAAAATGTAGTACGTCATGTAAAATAATAATAAATGGTATAATGAAACGAAATCTAAACTACACCTACAAAAATAAAATGACGATACAAAGAAAGTACATAGTGTGTCTTAAAAACAAAATAATTGCTATTGTCACGATATATTACGACGACGATAATGATCGTTTGTTCGTTTATCTTTCACAATTCGATTGTAAACATTTCGTTGGGAACGAAGTTACACGTATGCTCGTTTGGCGCCACAATTGTAGACGACAATAGTGCGGGAAAATTAGAGATGATGTAATAAAGAAAGAAAGCTGTATGTATTTTGCAAGCTATAATGAACGGTACAAAAGCTGTGTTCAGAGTTACATTTCAATGGTGTATTTTTGAATGTTCTGGTGTAAAAACGGTAACTGCTATTAACGTTTAATTATCAAGATATACACAATTATTACAGCTCTATTAGAATTGACGCCTGAGCGGACATGACGAAATGCTCGTGCGGACGACGGGTTACCTATCACTAAAGGCACTTCGATGAGAAATATATGGGTCAAAAGAAACGAACACATCTTTTGTTCTCGAGAATGGTCTGATTGTGAGTAATAGAAATTATACAAGTGCCACATTAATGTGTTTAATAAATAATTAACGTTTGTCGTAAATTTCTATTTAAATCCACTCGTGCTGTTTACGTACGACTATATTTCGTCCATAATTAAATAACAATTGACTGACCCCTGCCTGTGAGATTACTATTCCACTGAACTTTGGAGTGTACTGACAAGCATGTATGCTTAAGTCATTATATCTTACATTTATGCGTATTATTATCAATCTGAAGAATAGTTTAAATACATGAATGAAAAAGATTAACATAAAATTTGCATAGTACTTCATAAGGTAAATTGGAAAGGAAACACATAACTACAGCACTCCTGTATGGAGTGGGTTCGCGATAACGGTACACTATAAACGCAATTAGAAAGTTACTGTTTCTTATAGAGTGTACTTCGATGCACCTATAATTGGTATCGACATAGCAGATCCCTGGTGCATTAGAATTTTTATTATTATATTGTCAATATTTTAGAAACGTGGTAACGATATTGTCTTGAAATATTGAAGTCTTATTGTGAAAGTGTTGCAATCACGTTGTAAGAAAATTACTTTGAGCAGATAAAAACACGTAATCGTATAATTACTTGTTCTACAAGTTCAAGTTGAGACCAGTGCTTTTTATACCGTCGCGCAGTATGGTTCTTACTCGCGCATACGCACCGTTCTCAGCGTCAAGTTCGTAAAACTGGCGCTCGTAATCGCCCTAAAGAAAAGTAGAAATATAGTATTAGGTAATATCAGGTTTAGTAATTTGCAAATGTATTACGTAAAGTTGGTGTTAGTAAAAAGCTTGATGTTTATAGTTGATATACAGGGTGTTCCAAAAATGTTGGAAGTCGTTGAAAGGGGTGGTTCGGGAGGTGATTTGAAACAACTTTTTCCTTAGCGAAAATGTTGTCCGAGGCTTCGTTGAGGAGATATTAACGGAAAACACTGACCAATCAGAGCGCGAGTATACCGGCGGAGGCCGATTGCCTAGCGCGTAGCCCACGCCTACCGCGGGCGGCCCACTGGCATACTCGCGCTCTGATTGGTCAGTGTTTTCCGTTAATATCTCCTCAACGAAGCCTCGGACAACATTTTCGCTAAGGAAAAAGTTGTTTCAAATCACCTCCCGAACCACCCATTTCAAGGTGTACAACATTTTTAGGACACCCTATATATTTCCTACCCTATATGCTCTACAGTTTTTTATTGCTTTAGTATTCATGAATTTTTAATAGTATGCATGAATTCTTTTACCTAATAAATTGGAACCTCATATCTTTTCTTATAACTACAGCACTACGTCTTTTTTGTTGTGCATTTGTGCATGCGCAAGCGGGAATTGTCCCAGGCATCACTACTGCCGCGGCGCGACGTCCGTTTCAGTCACTGATGATCACTCGAGGAGCAAACATGTCTCGTCTCTTCTCTCCATCGTAAATTTCTTTTATCTGTACTCGCAGTCTCGTAAAGCCGAAATTGAAGAGCAGAACTACTTTTATCTCATCCTTATCCGATATCTTCGAGGATTAAACACAACCTCATCGATCGATTCGCCGTCCGAATCGCTTCATATTGCGCAATTTCCGCGTCGAGGTCCAGTTACGGCTAGAAAAATGATATCAACAAAGTCTTCCGCAGCATCAAACGAACGATAATAAACAGTGATAGAAGAAGTGTCACTCATTAGTTTGGTAGTGTATGCGACGATCACAGGAACGCTGACATTCCTAGGGCGGGAAGACTGACCCGAATAAAAGCCGTTTGTCGATTCTTGAAGAATGCCTTCGCGACTAAGCAAATTCATCGACTCGTCCTGCAAGGATTTCACTCATCCTTGGACGGACAGTTGTACCAGTGCAGCAGCCGGTCTCGGGCTGCATACCCTTCAAGAAAGTCTCAGGCTCTACACCACCGTCTACTTAGTATGTTTGTTGATTTCTATTTTCTTCCATAGAGACTATGTTGCAATTTTTACATGTTCTACAAGTATGAAAATGATCTCATAAACGCGAGCGCATAGACAGTTCTCAGTTCGTAAAAATACTAGAAAATAACTTTCTTCTCTTTCTCCTAAGTTACGTTTAATTTCATATCTTACGACATGAGAGAAAAACAATGCATATTTATGTTATTTAGTGATGTCGCAATCTTTACTATTGGTCGTACAGCGATTTATAATGGCGCTGGCAAATAAAATTTCACCTTGAATATTGACAACTCTTTATTGACAGATTCGCTTTTGTTTGTCAGTTGACTATCCGGCAATCTTCGATTTTAAAATGACTCGCAGCGTTCCGATACGCGAATTGGGCATCGAAAGGAGAAGTTTTTCTATCTATTCGAGGGATGTCGTATGATTTCTGTTTTCTTCGATATTTTTTTATTTTGTTTTCTTTGTGTCTTTTAGGTTACGTTTTTAATGAAAGGAAAAATACCGTCTAAAAAAGATGTCGGGAGAACGATGGCAGGTATCCTACAATCTACAGCCTTTCTCTCATGGAGTTCCTTTTCGTATCCCATGTTTATTTGTAACCTAAGGTGTGTTAAAATCAATTTTAATTTTATTTACAGAACTTACAAATATGTTTTCTGGATAAAATCTTGTCTTACAGCATCAAAAACTTCCCCAATCTCTGAATTAAAAACTGATACTTTCAATATCACAATTGCTTTATAGTTTTTATTTAAAGAACATACTTTTTTATTACGATGAGTTTCTGTGTTTACTTGAGAACTATATATTTCAGACGATTACTGGGAGGCTTCCATCTTCTGACTGTATCGTTTCTCCCATCCTTTCTATCTTCTTTGACAGCTATACTTATTGAGAGACCATCTCGTCGTACTCTCTTATGTTTATATGTATCCAACATTGTGAGTAGATCAATTTTAGCACCGTAATTCCTTGTCATGTCATAAGGGAAATGTACATTACTTTAATAATATATTAATTATTACATTTTTTTTTTATCAGGCATCAGAGACACTGTTTAGGATGGGGCAATCCAGAGGATACTACACTTCCATTCCAAAGGGTGAAACATACATTTTTGCTGTGAGCATGGCACTGTTACTTTATTTTCTTCGATCCAAAACAGATAAACAAGATGCCATATATAAAATACTTAGGTACTTAGGCTAATCTTGAACTGTTCTTATAATTTTGAAATTACTAATAGTTCAAAATGTATTTCAACTCTTTATTAGAGTTATTGGAAAACATGAGGAGATTGAATACTTTAAAGAAAATTGCTTCCAACCTAACACATTACCATCTTCTACTAATGAACATGACAATAAAGGTTCAAAAAAAAAGCATGCTACAAGTACTGAAAGATGTGAAGATAATATATTGATGAAGTCACTTGGAACTTATAAAAGGATTATAGAAGCTATAAAAAATCAAGGAAAACATGTGTCTTGTCCACATCCTTATAGTTGTGCTCATTACATATTAACGGTACAGATGTGAATAAATAAATAATGTACATTATTTATTTATTGTAAATGTACATTAATGATATATTTATTTCCAGGGTGCTATGAAGCTTTTTAGTTATGGTGTAGGTGTTCAGTTGGTACTTAATTTGGTGTTACGAATTAAACAATTACTTAGGAAGCCACAGTTAATGAAATCTATCATTTTCAAGAAGAATACCTACAATTTGGCTGTATTCCTAGGAGGTTTTGCAGGACTTTATAGGGTACTATTATATTGTATATTTTAAATTCGTTAGGTCCTTGCATACTATTTTAACAGTTTCTATTTCAGCTAGTGTCTTGTTCATTGAGGCAATTTTTACAAAAAGATTCTTCCTACTATGCAATTCCTGCTGGATTTATAGCTGGTCTGACATTTATGTCTTACAGTAATAATACCGTAGCTTTATACTTTATGTGGAAAGCATTACAGGTATTTCCTACAAACAATTTTGTAATTCATATATCTGATACTTGTATTGCCTATACAGAATTTTACTTCTTATTATATTAATTTCATTTTAGTTATTATGGAATGATCTTGTGGAAAAGGAAATAGTACCTGAAGTAAAGGGCTTTGTAATATTTTTGTATTGCGTTAGTACAGCGCTGCTCTTTCATGTAGCGATTGTCGAGCCTCAACTTTTACGACCGTCTTATTGGAAATTTTTGTGCAACGTATCTGGTGACAGGTAAAAAGACGTCATAAGCATATTAAGTAATTAGGCATACAACCGGTATTTCAACCTTTCATTGATTTACAGAATAGCGGCTATGTCTCGAATACCAATAGATAAATTTGGTTTCGAGACAAGGAAACATCTTGCTGAGGTGCTCAAAAAGACAAACACTACTGATAAGAGAATATATTCGTTTTAATCAAAGCTGAATGGATGATAATTGATTTTTGTTAATGGAAATGTGTTTGTTGTTTACACATATTAATAAAACAACCAAAGAAGTTACCTACATCATAAACTTTTGAAACAGTTGAAGTTTATGAAGATCAAATTGGTTGAAAAGTAAGAATCAGTTTGTATGCCAAGTGTTCAATTTACGATACGAAAGGTGTATTCGGGAAGCCAAGATTTTATATTTTGTGATAAGTAAACATTTTTATTTTTTAATATATGTATGTTGGGAATTATATTTCGACTAATTTATAATTTTTATACGTTTATATATGTGATACATACCTGATGAAAAATTGTTATTTAAAATAAGTGGGTGTTATGGAATAGTATTGTATAAATTGCATTATAATGTAGATATCTGTAAAAGTATGTACATACAAATTCGTAAATGAAACTACATTTGATATTTGCAATATTGATAAATGTATATTAGTCAGAACTAGACAATAAGCAGTTGGTGAATTTTTTATACTAGTAAATTTTGACAGAATTATATAATTTATTTATTAGTTATAAAAATATATTGTTGAATTAATTTTCCTTGTTTTCATATTTCCTACATTCAAATGCGGACATCGTACGCTATTTTTGTTTCTTTGCAGTCTCCAGTGCTCTATTTATTATAATATCTGCATTTCTTCGTTCATGCTTTCGTTTTAAACGTTTCTTCTTTCTCAGAACGTTATCCCAATTAATTTGACTTTGCATTCTTAAATCTTTGCTATCTACAATTCCAGGAGTAATTTCGGACTCTAAAGTCGAAACACTGTGCTTTTGCGATACTTTCCTAAGAGGATTTAAGACCTCCATCGAATCGACTTGCCAAGGAAGTAAACCAATTGGACAGTTCGGCCAACAGTAATTTACTGGAAAAGATTTCAATTATTAACATTACATTCGTAGTTAATATTTTTATTTCATAAAAAGTAATTTTATGTACTCACTAAGTGGTAATTTCCAACAAGAATTTCGAACCTTTTGATCGGTTAAAAAATGAGATGTTCTATCTTGTTCATTATCTACATTTAGAACATGATCGTCAAATTGATTATGAATATCTTTAAGAGTAAAAATTTGTTGACATTCGCTAGAACTTTCATCGCTCGTTATGTTTCCTTCTGCATAAATGTTCAGCAAATTTAATAATAATTGTTTCTTCTCGTCGTCTAGTTTTGGATTTATTAATTCCAATATTGGTGCAATAAATTTAATAGAGAACTTATTTGCGTTTAATATAAATTTTGAAACTAATTTGATGTTAGTTAAACAAGGTAACACTATATTTGATAAATTAAACCATAGAGTATATTTTAGATGCGGATAAATACGATGCGTTTCTTCCTTCACTTTGTGTTCAAAAGCTTTTGACGATAACTTTTTTTGCGTCGTTTCCATCTCATATTCTAAAGTTCGAGATATACTGTGGGCAACATTTAGTTTCACAAAACTGTAACATATAGAACTAATCCATAAAGAAGCTGAAGATTTTCTGTCTTTATTTACTTCTTCGTTATCTATTAAATCGAGTAATTCCAAAATAACTGTTTCCATCATTCCTTTTTCGCATAGTAAAAATATAATATCTTTCCAAAATTCCATCATATTCAGTGGCAAAAGATGATTTAGGAAATCATTTTCGGTATTTTTTTCTCGAACAAAAATTAATAAAATATCTTTGCTTGGTAAGAAAGCTTCTGAATTAAAAAGTGCGTTACAAACTACGTTCTTTTTATTAGGAATTGATTTTTTGCTAAGATATCTAGAGATTTCAGATAAAAGAACGTATCTCGCAGTCGCTAACGTATACTTTTTGTCCTTTCGTATGTCGTCGCTAGCAGTTTCTGCAAAATTATCTTTATCGTTTTCTATGGTTTCATTATTTTTTTGCGACAAGGACATAGCATACAAACGCAGGTCTTGTAATGTTTCCCTGTTAATAAAGTCAATTTATCATTATAGATATAAAGTAACTAATTTAATGTAGTCAAATATATGTACTTGAGTTGAGGATCTGGAATATCTGATACTAAATAGTATCCAGCATGAATGTATAAACTAACAGCAGTCCAAAGTTCTATTAAGTCACCAAATTCTTGAATCTCCTCAGTTTCCTGAATTTCATTTACAGATTCTGAGGTGACAATGGATTCTTCTATCCTTTTTGTTTCGGTAATCCAATATTCTTCCTTTAAAAATAATAAGTTTAACAGAAACAAGCATAGTTATGAATATTACAACTTACATGGAAATAAATACATACATGTAACCAAGTTAATAATATGTTTATCGCGATCCTCAATACACCAATGGATGGCAATTCGTGTCCATGAGCTGTATCGTGCCTCAAGTTCACTATCCACTCTGGAATATTGAGTTGCTTGGCAATCTGAAACAATGATGTTTGCTTCGTATGCCCTATGTTGGATATATGATTTAAAAATCTCATTATCGTGGTAGAGTACATCAGGCACAAATCGTTTTCATAACTAATAGGCAACTCCCCGCTATTAATTTTGGGAGTCCATTCACGGTCTCTAAGACAGACTTGCATGATAGAAAGAGTACAGTCGACCCCTACAGGTAACTTTGGCATCCTAAAACTCTTTCCATTAGCGTCGTTTACAATTTATAATTTACTATTAAAACATTTTACGAGGTGATTACCTTGATTTCCACACGAGTAGCATCTCGTATGCCTTCTTCTGCTCGACCATGTCATTGGAGTAAATTTGTCTGTACACCTGGTGCCATTCGGTTCTACGAAATACGAATAGTACTTTCACATGAAAATCACAAGGTACGAAAATTATTACAGTTATCATTATACTTACAGCGAAAACCATGGTACTTGCTTTACGTCTTCCTGCTTCACGGAGAGCGCCATGTTTGACCACGTGCGATCAGAAACGGAGCTCTACGTTCTTATTGAAATACTTTGAATGTGCGTGTGGAGGTAATTGGTTGCATGTATGCGTGGATCGTGCGATTGTACACTCCGAACTGTACGAGGAGTATAAAAAAATAATATTGACTAACATGGCGAAACAAATACGAATGGTACTGATAGATCTCAGTGGGACGCTACATATTGATAACACAGTGATTCCTGGTGCGATCGAAGCTTTAAACAGGTGGTTATCTTCATTTGTCTCGCAAGTATATTACGATCAATTAAGATCTGCGTCATGGCGCATCTCGTGTTGCGTCGATTCTGTTTATTGGCGCGCTTCAAAATTGAACGAATTACAATACCAAATCGCTTCTTTTCATAAATTTCTTCATTTAAATATCCACATTTAAATTTCCGTTCGTATTTAATTTACACGTAACACTGGAATATTGATCGCAATAGGATAGAGATAAGTATAGAGATAATTAAGTTATCGAAGATTATATATAATTTAAATTATATATTTATATATTATATGTTTGTATATAATTATATATTTATATATTATATGTTTGTATATAATTATATATTTATAATTATAAAGAATTTATAAATTCTTTGTATAATTGAAACGCAGGCTTCGAAACGCCAAAATACCTTTAAAATTCGTCACGAACACAACGAAAGAGTCCAGTAATTTTTTATACAACCGATTAACGAAACTTGGCTTTGAGATTAAGAAGGAAGAGATCTTTAGTTCGTTGGCTGCAGCGAGAAGATTGATCGTTTCGCGGGAGTTGAATCCAATGTTGCTGATAGATCCAGCTGCTGACGAAGATTTCGAGGGTTTGGTAAAGAACAACGAAAAGATAAATGCTGTGGTAATTGGACTCGCACCGAACAAATTCCATTACGACGAATTAAACAAGGCGTTTAGGTACATTTTCTGTATGTAATTAAACAATTTATCAGGATGTTAAGGTGCTAAGGTTAATGGCCACTTTAAAGTTAATCTATCCCTGCAATGGATAAACTGTAATTTCAGATTATTGTTAGATGGCGCGTCGCTTATAGCAATTCATAAGGGACGATATTACAAACGACCAGATGGCTTGGCTCTTGGTCCAGGCGCATTTATCGCAGGATTAGAATATTCCGCTAACGTAACGGCTGAAGTTGTTGGTAAACCAACCGCGGAATTTTTCAAAGCTGCTCTGGAACATATACCTCCAGAAGAAGCAGTCATGATCGGCGATGTATGAAATATATTTAATATATTGTTTACAATGGCACAGGGTGTCCTATATTACAAAGGAATAGCAATAGTTGAAATACTTTTCCATACCTTTTAATATAGACGTGAATTTTTGCACACTGTGTGATATGAGACACCTTGTACTAATTGTTACTATAATCGAGGTTTTAATCATTTAACAATGTAATCATTTAATTAGGATGTTAAAGATGACATAGCTGGCGCGCAAGCTATTGGCATGAGAGGTCTTTTAGTACAAACTGGAAAATACCGAGAAGGTGATGAGAATACAATTGTACCATTACCCGCGAAAGTATGCAGCTCGTTTGTGGAAGCTGTGGAACATATTATTAAAATGGAAGTGTAGATATACTGGTATTGCATTAGTAATTAATTATCGAAGTACACGTGTATAAGTTATTCTGTATTAAATTAGATGTTTTATTTAATTATTAATAATTCCATAATGGTGTACATGATCTGGAGTAATTTCACAATATAGCTGTTTCGAAATGTCAATTAAAAGTTAATTACATAGAAATCGATGCGGTGACTTTCATGATCCTAAACGGGTACATTCGAATTTTTTATTGTTCTACTTAATCGTTGGTAAATAAGTTATATAACATTTTTTTTCTATATTTTGTAACTCGAAATGGATAAAAATAGACCACTTTTTCAACCATTGAACGAATATCGTCTCATTGCATGATTAGTTGTAGAAAAATTGTAGAAAATTTCATCTACTACGATGTAACGATATTACATTATATAAGTTCGTTTATAAATAATAACGAAACCATTTTTATCGAGTCCAGATATTTCTAGGTGTGAGACGATATTTTCTAAATATTTGTCCCTCTAAGAGCAGAAGAAAAAATAATCGTTGTAAATCTGAATTGCTACTAATATGCGGCCTTAGTTAATAAATATATTATAACTACTTTATTTAGTAAGTTTTCATTGAAAGCATGTTTACAGAAAAGATTTAATCTCTCTTTAAAAGGAATTGGTGCATTGCAACATTTATTTCAGTATAAAATTTGGCACCATTCTGCAAGTTCTTTATTTCTTTTTTTTTTTACGTGAGGACTAACAAACTTTGAAGATGTTCACTGTCCATTGCTAAAAAGATAGGGTATATAATTAGTTTTGATTCGAAGTTATTCTTACGTCTCGAACGTGCAATTACAAGAGTTTCTTCTGTTTTAATGTTATACATTAATACTTCCATTAATGAACAATGTTATTTATTTAGTGAGGAAGGCTCAGTTATAATTTTCATGAATACTGTATGAAATGTATATCTCGTATCTAAAACTAATATAATATTACCTACGCGTGAAATCGATGAACAGTATGAACGCTAATAAACTTTCGTGAATTTCTATCGCAGTATGCAAGTAATAGATAGAAATTTGATTATAGTTCGAAAAAAAAAGAACTTAAAGGAATTTTCTTCGCGCAAGGGAGCAACAATAATAAATTATTAGAAAATATTCGACAATTAATGCCTAAAACACGCGCGGTCGACGGTTTTGTTACGCCTAGTATTATAAAAATAAACATTAAAATCTACGAATGAACGGTATAAATTCATAACTAAACACTGGACTTTGACGAAATATTTTCTATGATTATGCATCGCAACGGTGTAACTTACAATTGATATTATTTCAAAAGGACCAATACATCAGTTCATAATCGAAATGCCCTCTACAACTTATAATCTATGATCAGGCACATGTTGATTTCCTGTCGCAATAACGAGGGTCATTTTAAGAAAATATATGTTTCAGTTAAAAAGAAATAATAAAATGCGAGAATAATTACCACTAACTCTTTGCAAAAATATACATATAATGCTGATATACAAACATAAAAATGAATCAAACTTAACTACAACTGTACAGTACTTTTTGGTAGCCATTCTCTTAATCAACGTGTCATTGGCTCGAGACAAGTCGATCATTGACCTCTAACGATACATATACGATCGAAGAAGAAAATTAAGTAGCGGTAAATTATTTCTTTACATCACCAACCGAGTGTAACAAAAGCTTAGCAAATAAATACACTTATAATATACAGTATTATGCAGCACATTAAAATGTAACAATGGAATAATCTCTAGATTCGTTAAAAAATTGCGTCAATGTCATTTCAATAACATAAAATGTTACAACATTTAGGGCCGTATTAATAAAGAACAATTATCTCTTTTTTTTCTCTTTAATAGAAAAATTAAGCGTTTATCCCAATTTCACGGAATTGGTGTAAAAGCTCCAGTTTTCGATACAACATTTGTTTCAATTTTATTTATACAGCCCACCACCGTAACCAGGGGACGTTACTTACAGTCGCATTTGTATATACAGTTCATAAGATTCTAGTAGAGTGAATATTTTTAACATAAGACCAACTACATATTCTTTTATCTGTTACAGTTGTCTCCTAAGGCCAAATTCTACCAATGCGGCTATATTCGTTTAACTGACAACTATAGTTAGTGTATTTATATTTTCCTTCTCATACGAAACATCGTTATATATCTCATAAATACATATTTAATTAATGGAAGTTCCACCAGAGATAGAATTTGACCTTATTACACTGAAGACGGGCATACTGTTATTTCCTATGTTTATTAACAGGAAATATTGAACTGTTAATTTGGCTGCTCAAATGTAATTTGATTAATAGTAAATTGACATTTCCTTCTTCTCTTTATAGTTTGCTTCCTTTGTGATAACAAGGCAGGTGTGTGGAGTACTACTAACGCACATCATAGAATACATACATTTCATTTGTTTAATAAATACACGAGTTTCTTATTTGATTGAAAAATAAAATAGTACTACTTACAATTTACGAAATACAGCTAAGTGAAATTAACACAGAAAAATTTGAGAAGTATCGTGTGAACATGGCATTTAGAGAAAATGAAAATAAATAATTTCCTGGGCCATACGATCCTGTCCCTCGTTTTGTGCTTAACTTTCTCACTGGTACTTTTGAAGTGGGAAGACGATAAATGGCTGACGACAAGCATTTAATACTGTACACCCAGGTACGAAAAACATATGTCTCTAAAAGTACACTAACTGAAATTGGTATTTCACGTCGTAGGGATGAGTTTGGCCTCAGGATATAAATATACAAATATGAGCAATTTATGCTAATACTTCCACACGTTATTGCTTTCAAACGCATTCAGTTCCAAGTACTCTGTGCGCGACCTGGCCTCTACTCGTCTTCAGTTGCGATATCTAATGGAACATCCACCGAAAATCGATTGAATATTTCATGAAGAGGAGGTAGCGTGAGATGCCACACTCTGCAACTAGTCCACATGTCTTCCGTTACTCTGAAACCCATTTGTTCTAAGCCCACGCAAGTATTTCTCTCTTTTTTCAGATAGTCTGCAGATCTTTGTTTAAGAAACGCAGACATAAGCAATGAAAAACAGAATTGTACTTACCTTACCATAGAAAAAAACCAGGTACACGTTAGAGATCCTTGTTCTGATGTACTCAACCCTAACTATTTTACAGGCCGATAATGCAACGTTAAGTCTGCTGCATTTTTCCAGATGAAATGTTTGACCTAAGATGCGATAAAATAAAAGTGATTTAAAAAATTCGTAGCTCTAAATAAACAATTGTACGACGTACAAAAGATTTGAGACCGTACCGTCCTCAAATCCATAGAAGGATCTAGAACTTGATCGTTACATAAAAGTTCCACTTTTTCTTCGGCCAGCGAAGAATTATCAGCATTCGAATCTGTGTTTGTTCTGTCTCCTGCTGGAGAACCACCGGAAACTGTGTTCCCAGTACCTGCCACCGATCCTGAATCGCTTCCTGCGCCGAGCACTTTATCACAAACATGTTCCGCTACTTTACGAATTTGTATAAAATCATTTGCAATTAAACGATCCCTTGAAATATAAACATAAAGAAATTATTAACCAGAAGTATCGTGTTTAATATAAAATCTATAAGACGTTAATTTATCGCGTACTTCTTTAGACTTTTTACACCAGACGTGGCATGTGGAAGAAGATAAAAAGGTGTTTTAGTGAATTGTGGAAGATTCTTGTCCACGACAATATTAACCACCCATGCTGGTACAGTGTCATTTAATAAAACTCCTTCTGTTTCTCCTGCAGCATCTCTGACTAATAATCTATACAAAGTTCTTCCTCCCACTTCGCTAAAACAAAATTTTATTGTTTTATTCCTTTTCCTAGTATTATTATAAAATATATCGTAAATAATTCGTTACTAGAGTTAATTGTTAATACATACCTAAATATAACAGGTGTATGACTAGGTACTGAAAAGTATGGATTTCCTCCTCTTGTATGTATAGGGCCATTACCCTCGTTACTATTACCTTCGTTTTCATCGTCGGCGTGCAACGGTCTCCACCAATGTTCGAGCAAAGCTTGTAGTAAAAGATTTCCATAATTCACTGTAAAGTAAAATAATTTCTTAAAGATCAGCGAACAGAATAACATTCGTACTAAAAAGAATATTACCTTTTTGATCGACTGCATCGTTCTCTGCGAGACCAGTTTCTTTTGCAGAGACCCACGCGGAAAAACAGTCGCTCTCATCTTGGCCTAAATGAATGGTCAACATCTACAAAAATGTAAATATTTATTATTCTTAATATTACGATTATTCAAGTTTGACTTCGTTTAGTAAGCTGCAAAAGTATGTACCCCTGTTTTAAGGTCTACGTTGAACCAATTTGGAACATACACCATTTTATTTCTTTTCTTGATTTCCTGTTCAAAGTCTACCCTTCCTAGATCTTCTACTTTACATGCTTTCAATACATCGTATAACGCTACGTTCTCTTCCGTATCTTTCGTTAAAACGTGTCTTCGATCGTTTAAAACACGGTAATGCCGTATCGCGGGACCGCCTAATATTTTTTGTGCAGGTTCTGTATTGCGTAAAACATTCGAAGTTACCCCACTAGCGGAGTCACAATAGTCTCCGATTCCAAAGTCTTGCCAATCTTTTTGACTAATCGACTGTAATCGGTTTTTGAAACATTAGATTATTTATACCATCGATCGACTAATTACATTTACGATACAATAGTTCGTTACCCAATTATTTATAGTTGATTCGCTAGTTGCCACCCAAATACTAGACTGATCAGGTGTCATAGCCATTTTTAATATGGGTGCTTTTTCTTCGCATATAACAGTGTATCTTTCAGGATAACTTAATTCAGTCATTACAACTCTCTTATCTCTACCACCTGATATCACATGGCTGAAAGTGTCTGTTGCCTAAAAATTATTTTATGGATGACTAAGTTTCGATCGTATATTATTTCAAGAAGGTATTCATAGAAATAACAATTACCAATAATGCCCAAACACCTTCCTTGTGTACTCTAAAAGTTTGAACACATCTTTGCTGTCCCAATGACCAAAGCTTAATTGTTCCATCTGAGCTAGCAGACAAACACTGACTACCATCTCTGTTTAATACTAAAGCTTTAATATTATCCATATGACCTTTAAGTTTCATCAATTTGGTACAGTATCTTGGATCCCATACTCTCAAAACTTTTTCTGTGCTACCACTGACTACAATTGTCCCAGTTTGATTCATGACAAGGCTATATATTGAATCTTTATTTCCAGTAAGAGATGATGCTGTAGAAAATTAAAGTGTTATTTAAAACATAACTTAACAGTGAAAATAAAAGAAAGTAATTAATAATCTGATTATTTACTTGTTACAGTGTTGTTGCTTGCTGTAAGAGCTGTTAACGTGTTAACATCCCACAGGAAGATATATTTATCTAGACCTGCACTGGCAACCTGCTCCCTGTCTTTAGCATATGCTAGAGCTTTAACATAATCTTTGTGTGTTCTTAATGTAGACATGCAGAAACCTTTATGGGCATTCCATACTTTTAATGTTGTGTCAGAACTGGCTGATATCACTATAAAATGTTGATTTATTTATACATAGTTGGTCAATAGAATCATTTAAAAGCACAATAGAAAGTTACATACAATTTTTACCACCACAACATAATACTATATCATTGACCCAATCCGTATGATGCTCCATGGATTGAATATATGGATCCTTCATATTCTTGCAATTCCATATCCTTATTATGCTATCTCTACCCGCAGAGTAAAGCCTGTGCAAAGCTGGATCATACTGCAAGGAATTCACTCCAGCTCTGTGTCTCTTCTCCACTTCATCTCTTATAACCATGGATACCTTCATAAGAATACAAACATAACACAAGCTCATGTATATATAATATAAACACTATAAATACATAATCTGGTTAGTTGACATCATTTCAAGAAAATTCAAAGAATCGTTCCACGATCAAAGTTCGCCAAGGAAAATTTACTTTAAATTGACTTTTCTTTATCACCCTGTATACACGACTTAATCTCTGTTATTCAATACGCAATCGTGTGATTTTTTTTTTTCGTATATCCAAGTTGTTACACGAAAAGTTACACGAAACTCTACCATATAACGATACTCGGTCGAACGACGACTTCTCGTACGTACGACAAACAATTACCCGATAGATAACCGACGTAAGGAAACGTTTCACGAGGTGAAAAAAACTATTCCAAAGTAAATACCTGGACTTTCTTTCGGGCGCTCTGCCCGCCTGTCTTATGAGCTGCCATTATGCCGCGAACCGTTTCGTAGCCTCACACGTAAGAACAATCAAGGAAAACATTCGTGGCGTAGAAATTACGCCGCGACACATTCACGTTGCAGTGCGTCGAAACCACGTAGCAGTTTCATTGCCGTTGCACTTTCTTAAACGTTCCACGACCGCGGACAGCTATGTTTCCTCGAGCTCCGAACGAATAATCCCATTACACATCACGCTGAACCTTAAACAGCTGTCAAACGATTTTCGATGGCGGTTGTTCGAGCACGTTCATGACGATCGTATCACTGACACCACCATAGCGTTTCCAATGCCGGTGTCAATAGGCTTGGGGGACGTTACACGCGTAACGTTACATCACGTTTACCGAGTGTACGACTATTCGACTCCATTGTTTATGATTGAATCGTAGGATATATATCGTTGGTTCCGGTTGGTCTCGTTCAGTCTCGTTGGTGGAAATCGTCGATTTTATTTCAACGGCGTGAAAACTTTAGGGGGGGGAAGTACGGTCGATCTTCCGCGTGTAACGTGCGGCGGCAACGGGAATTACGAGTAAAATTTATGAATTTAGAAAATTGCCATCCAACAGTTAGATTCGATGTTACGCGACCAATAGTCGAACGAGACACGGCCCATGAGTATGGAATGAATAAATACGTTCTTGTTTAGGGTTCTTTGGAAATACCGTGATTGGATGGATTTGGTTGGATTGTTTTGTGCCAATGGGAAGCATTCGATCGTTGTAACATTATTTTGAATTATTCTGTAATATCATGCGATATCATGCTGAATTCTATTCTATTCTATATTATTCTATCCTACGATAGCCTATATCTTCTATAAAATACAATAAACTTTTTATTATTTATAATTTAACAGCAAGCAGGAGCATTCAAACGTAAGAGTTGGCCTGCTTTGCATTTGGGTAGCAGTGTGTCGTAGGTCTGATATCATAGACAGTTGATAAATATACATTTATTTGTAGAACTATAAATATTATACATGAAATGTAACTTGTATGCTTCGAATAAATCTGTATCTATTTGGAGAACATCCCGCCATGTCAATGTATTGTTCGTCACGTGGATTTGTTTACAAACTTTTTATTGAGATATACGTACAGTGCATTCAGAAAGGTCAACGCTCACTAAGCCGCTCAGTGAGCGGGTTTTCACACCAGTGGCGCCATCGGTGGCAAAACGCCCAAGTTTCTAGTGAAAATAGTTACTATATTATCTAGCCTAGATAGCGTCACTATAAAAAATAATTTATTAAATTGTTCGGTGGCGCCACTGGTACTAAACCCAAATAATCTTTGATAGATATCTCGATTTGTTATAAGTTCAATATTATAAAGAATACATTTACAAAATTTAAACAATATATTATCAATAGTATTGCCATAAAGTATTTTTAAATAAAAGTACTCTGTGATTTGTCTCTATTGCCAACCAGTGCCAACCACTACCACTGCCAACCACTCATAATCACTCATAATGAATCATTTAGAGCAAGTTTGTGGTTACTTGTTATGATTGATGTATAAATGTGTACTATGAGTACTTTAATTTTAATAAAGAATAAAATAGCCTTGTAAAATGTCGTTTTACATGTAATTGTTGATGCAATGATGATTTATTACCACTTGTAAAAAGTATAGCGAACGAATTTAACCTACGAACATACGACTTAATCGTCGATAGGTTGAAAAGGTCAGCTATTATCGATATACGTTTCTTAAATGCTTTCTAATTTTAGATCATTCTAATGGTTCTGTTTAATTGTTCCAATGTGAATTCGATATTCTGAATCATTTAAAGCACATATTCGAAAGTTTGATCAAACATATTAAGGTTTCATTTTTCGCAATAGAATGTATCGCCTTTAGAACTTACAAATGTTTTTAAAACGTTTTTCATAATTTTAGAGAATAAAACAAAAATGGTTGCTGGTCCTACAGAGCACGGCATACAAGCCGATGTAATATTTGTCATTGAAGGAACAGCTGTTAATGGAGCTTATCTCAATGACCTAAGAACAAACTATCTTCTACCAACACTAGAGTATGTTATAACACTTACTTATGTTTCCTTCTAGCTATGTCATTATACAATTGTCCATTAATTTAAAAGTATTATATTTTACAGGTATTTCAATCAAGGTCCTATAGAGGATAGAGAATATGTTTCCGAGGTATTAATGACACATAATATGATTTTCTCCATTTCAGATTTTAATGTTTCTAATAAAATTGGATTTCATTTAATAGAATAGCGCGACATTGTATGGCATAGTAGTGTACCATGCAGCTGATTGCTTACCAGCACCTTGTACAGAGACCTTTGGGCCATATGCAAATCCGCATAAGTTGTTGCTTGTTCTAGATAAACTAGAGTGAGTATAGTTATCTATTCAAAGTTCTCTTCATAAATAGAGTAACACCTAACTTAAAATTCACAAGATCTTTTTTTTTTACATAAAAAGAATGGTTGGTGGAAAGGGAGAATCTTATGCAAACATTGGAGAGGGTCTTGCCACTGGGTTACAATGTTTCGAAGACTTACAATTACGACGTGAACCGAATACAGCATCCCAGAAACATTGTATTTTAATTTGTAATTCTCCTCCATATCAAACGGTCATACAAGAATCGTATAAATTCGCTGGTCATACCGTGGAGCAGTTAGCCGCGCTTTATCAAGAGGTATATCAAAACAAATAATTTGGATGGTGAATTAGGTCCAAAAATACGATCTTCTTTTTTTTGCAGAGAAACATTAATCTTTCGATATTATCGCCTAGAAAAATACCCGCGTTATTCAAGTTGTTCGAAAAGGCTGGAGGAGATCTGCAATCATCTCAAACGAAAAATTATGCCAAGGATCCTCGACATTTGGTGCTATTGCGTAATTACAATTTGAAAGAAAGACCCGTGAGTCCTCCAATGGGTGGACCCGTTCATACTACTCCAGGCACTGCTGCTCAAATTCCACTTAGTCCATTGCAAAGCAACGATAGTCCAAATACGAATCAAGTTCAACAAAATATTGCTCAGCCATCACAAGCTCAAGGTCCTCCATTTAGAAACCAAACACCGCAAAATATTACTTCGGTTCATCAGACGGTGCCACCGATAGCGGCTGCTATGAACGCTGGACGACCTCCGTACAATCCTCAGATATCTGCTCCGCCAACGTATCATCCAACAGCTGTTGCAGCAAGAGCGGGTCACACCAGATGGAGGCCGTTCGTAACACCAGGAACTACTGGTCCAGCGAATGCACAAAGTAGCGCGTTAATAGCACAATTAAATCAACCTCCTTCATTGGGACTTAACGTAACTCCGTTTGGACAAAGAATGGATGGTAGTAAGACGTTTTGCGATCAATGGTTTTGTTAAGTTTTAATTATATATCAATTTATTAAGTATCGTGTTGCAACGTAATGTGTTATTTACGTTTTCAGTAGCTAATAGCAATGTTATGGCTGCCAGCGCGCAACAACAGCAACAACAGCAGCAACTGACGCAGCAGCAGCAGCAGCAAGCGAGATTCACGATGCAGATACAACAACAACAACAGCAGCAGCAACAACAACAAAATGTTCAACAACAAGGTTCGATGCCTATGTCGGCGCAACAAACTCATGGACAGGGCGGTCAGCAACTTACAGTATCGTGCGTTAGTCAGTCGATACCTACTCAAGTACCACAGACGGTTACAGCTTCCCAAACACAGTCATCCGTGTCATCGATCAGTCAACAGCAACAAGTGTCGCACTCTCAGGCACAAGTAATATTTTTAAGAAACATATTCAAGCTGTTCCATTAATTTCCATGCATAAATAACGTGAATATAAATGTCGAAGGGCAACGTTACTTCTGGTCCTGTATCCGGCCCGCAAATCACCGTGCCACGCGAAAGACACACTATATGGCAAGGTATCATCGAATGGGTCGAGAAAGCTAAAATTCCTGCAGACGCGCAAAAGCAGACGAGACATCTTCCCTGTCAAGTTTCTGCGAACTCCAAGGATGGAGATCCAGAATTGTAAGTGCTTGTTTGGAGAGTAAATAATCGTATAAGTATTTTAATTGACATAATGTGGTCATTAGGAAAGCTGATACATGGCCCCAGAAGTTACTTATGCAGTTGATGCCTAAACAATTAATAGGCAATATCGGTGGATCTTATTTAAAGAACTCGAAATCCGTTCTTTTCCATCCGACACCATGCGAAGCACTGGAGTCTTTGACGAAAGTTATGAGCTCTGGATTTGTTAGTATGCAGTATTATATGTTGCAAGATATGCTCTTAGTAAATCATTGATAAGGGAAAAATTCTTTAGGCCGGTTGCGTTCATTTCACCCTTTTGCCGCCAACGTCGACGTGTGACATAAAAGTACTTATTCTTCTGTACACGGCTGAAAAGAGAACGTATTTAGGATTTATTCCAAACGACCAGACTGGTTTTGTAGACCGTCTTCGTAAAGTGATTCAACAACAAAAGACTTCGCATGCAACTATGAGACAGGGACCGGTGAGCGGGAATGAAAATGTTTAAATCGAGTATTAACGGGGTTTAGAAGAATAGAAATCTAACGATTAGATATCTCAGGCTGGAGCTGGACAAGGAAATGCGATAACTGGACCTATGGCCACTACGGGTACGTCGCAAGGTGGTATTCTTATGTCTCAGACGAACACTATAGCAATGGGAGGCGGGCAAATAACGCAAAACGTTGTTACCGTAAATAATCCACAACAGACGTTAACTACATCTGGCGGTCCTCAGAATCAAATTAGTATGCAGGTAAAACCTATCGTATAATAAAACAAGATCCAATTTGAGTTTGTATTAAATAAACTATTCGTTGTAATTAACGTACCGATAGGGCGGTGCAATTACTGGTCCCCAAGTTGCTACAGCAACTGGTACAATGATAGGACAACAAAGACCACCGTTCGATGATATAGGAATCGCTAGGCATCAAAATTTATTAAAAATTCAACAACTAAAGCAAACATTAGAAGCCGCGCAGCAACAAGAAGCGCAGTATAAATCGCAACTAGAAGTGAATGTAAGTAAATAAAGATAAAATATGACCATGCAAAGGACCCAAAATTCTAATTCACACGATCAATGAATTTTATAGATTCAACAAAATTTAGAACTAGCGCAACAACAGGAAATGCAGTATAAACAACAGTTGGAGGTGAAATGTTTTTAAGAGTAATCGCAAAATGTGATCTACATTTTTATTCGGAAGAAAATAAATAAAATAAAATGTTTCATTATAGGCTCAACAAGCGCAAAGAGCTCTCAATCCCGCAGGTATGACGAATCAACAAGCGAATGCACCGAGATTGATGCGACCCGTTTCGAATATGGGCCTTAGGCACTTGTTGCAACAAGTATGGGATAATAGCTTTAAATTCATTAAGAAACTTAATTGTACACGTGGAGTTTAACTAAAAATATAAATTTTCTGTTTCAGTCGCAACCTCCGTACAGGCATCAAGTAATCGGAATACAGCAACAAACAGTTGGTGCCAGAGGTCAAATGACAACGAGACCGATGGCTCCTGGCAATCCACAGAATCAACAATTCGAAGATGTCTCTAATTATGATTTTCTTGGATAGATCATTTAAATAAGAAATATTTTTTTAAGCGTATTCGCTATACCGTAAACAATATAAATTATTTGTTAGTATGCACGAGTTGATTTAATACTTTTTACATGTAATGCAAACTTCGGAATACTCGTGCATGCTGAAATCTATAGGTTAAGATTGTTGCAAAGTATATATTATATATATGTTTCTACGGAAGAAAATGATAATTCTACGAAGATAATTGGAATGAATAAAACTTAAAATTCGGAAAGAAAAATGATTTAAGCGTTTAATTTTCACGATTGTATACTGATAGATCATGTATCTACACGAAGGACATTCATAATGTTTATTTTGTTGACAGGAAAAAAAGCACGTGGTAATATACGTCAAGGTTATGTGTCGTTATTCCAATAATTTCATAATAACACAAGAGATCTGTTGTGCAAGAAAGCTAGACGTATCTCGAACACTGTATATTTAATACCGTAAGTGAAAGGCTACTTTATAATAAATAATCTTCAACTATTAATTAAAGGAAGTAATTTTGTTATACTTAAATCCATTTCGGATATGTAATCATACATGTAATAATACATGTATAGTAAATAAAAGATTTAACTCGTTTGAGCAAAGGATTGTTGATATTTTGTTATGAAAATGTTGTTATTAAACCTTCAAAGCTTGATTAAAAGTTTGACGTAATTCTGCCATGAACATTCACGTGTGTAGTAGTGTGTAGAAAACTGTATGCATGTGCATATATATATTTCGGAGTACACGTGTGTGTACTGCGGCGATAAAATTTTGTAATTGAATTTATTCAATTAAAATCAAACTTATCGAAAACAATGTAAATGAATTCAATTAATAAATTTTTGAAGCATCCCATAAAATTTCTTTCCTGAATTTAATTTCTTTTATGATACTGTATTATACATGTATTGTATGTACATCAATTTACTTTTTTAAACAAACACATTTAAATCTTTCTGTAATTTAAGAAAATGTGTAAACATACAATGTTAGAAAAGATAAGAACATTATCAGATGTCCTCTGACCTTTTGCTTACTCTCTGTTTGATTTTGTAATTATGACATGGGCATTCTGTTTTGCAATTACCATACTGATATAGTTAGATTACAAAACAACACTCTTGGTAGTCTACTAGGGGGTCTGAGTTAATGGAAACGTTCATTATCAATTAAGTATTAGCGTTTCTTTTTATTATTTTGTGATTTTTTATTTGCAGACCATGGGTATTATAAGATTCTACAAGGCACCTGGTTTGAAGTCGGGTCAACTAAAAACCGTACTTAGTAATGTGACTCAAATATCAAATTTAATAACTGGTCTTGAAAGTGAATTATGCTATTATATTGAAACCAAAGAACCTTTAAGCGAAGAAGAATTAGAACTTTTAAAGTGGATATTAATTCCTCCATTCAACCAACACAGTTTAACAACTTGTAGTGTATTCGATGAGAAATTGGAGGAAAACTTAATCATTGAAATTGGGCCAAGGTAAGACAGATTACTAATATTTTAATATTCCAGTAAGTAAAAATGATCAATTTCCTTTTGTCTTACAGGTTGAATTTTTCTACAGCATTCTCCAGCAATGCTGTATCAATTTGTAAATATGTGCATATACATAAAATAACAAGGATCGAAGCAGCTATTAGGTATTGTATCAAACATAATGGATCGATCGAAAAGGCAGTCGAAAATAGCGTATGTACCAGATTTGTAATGGCGTTTTAGAAACAGATAGACCATATATTTTACATTTATTTCTTTTACAGATAACGGACGTGTTACACGATAGAATGACGGAATGCAGGTACACGAAGCCAATAGAAACCTTTGATCATGGTTTCAGACCTGAAAAATGGTTTGAAGTGGACGTTTTAACAGATGGCCGAAAAGCATTGGAAGAAGTGAATTTAAAATTAGGTATACATTTAAAATAAAATAATAAGGTTTATTTCATCTGAAATAAAATCGTTTATTTCTTTATCATTTGCATAGGTTTGGCATTCGATAGTTGGGATTTAGATTTCTACACAGATTTATTTCTTAATAAATTGAAACGCAATCCGACTAGTGTCGAGTGTTTCGACTTAGCGCAATCTAACAGCGAGCATAGTCGTCATTGGTTCTTTAAGGGTCGTATGATTGTTGATGGAGTGGAGATGAAAAAGTCGTTACTCGATATGATCATAGAGACACAGAAGCATTCCAATCCAAACAATACGATTAAGTTTAGCGACAATAGTAGTGCGATTAAAGGATACCAAGTCAAAGCACTTCGACCGAATGAAACTCACAAGTGTAGTTCCTTCCGCATAGAAAACGTAGATCAAGACCTTATTTTTACCGCAGAAACTCACAATTTCCCAACGGGTGTCGCTCCATTCAGGTAAACAATTTAAATATTATTTAAATAAATTGTATAGTATACCTTACAAATATTGTAATTTACAGTGGAGCTACGACTGGAACTGGAGGAAGATTAAGAGATATTCAAGGCATAGGTAGAGGCGGGTATTACATTGCTGGAACCGCAGGTTATTCTGTTGGCAATTTGCACATTCCAGGTGCGTTGTACTTAAAGCTTATATTAATTCAATATATTCAACTATTTCAATCAAATTTGTTATTTTCTTCGTAGGATATAACTTACCCTGGGAAGAGAAGAATGTACCATATCCTAGCAACATGGCAAGCCCATTGAAAATTATAATCGAAGCTAGCAATGGTGCGTCCGATTATGGCAATAAGTTTGGAGAACCAGTTGTGTCTGGTTTCGCTCGTTCTTTTGGCATTACGGATAATGCAAATGAACGACGTGAATGGATCAAGCCCATAATGTTTAGCGGAGGACTGGGCACGATGGATGCTGATATGTCGCTCAAAGTCACCCCGCAGAAAGGTTAGAGAAAATGATTGCTTATTAATTTATTACGTACATTGTATAACAAATTATTATTGTTCTAGGTATGGAAGTCGTGAAGATAGGTGGTCCAGTTTATAGAATTGGCGTGGGGGGTGGTGCGGCAAGTTCTATCGAGGTAGACACGAATTACTGATACTAACGTAATTATGTAGCGTTGCACTTCGTTTTTAATGATTGATTAAAAATGAAGTATCGTTAGGTGCAAGGTGATAATAAATCAGAATTGGATTTCGGAGCAGTACAAAGAGGCGATCCTGAAATGGAGCAGAAACTAAACAGAGTAGTTCGCGCGTGCACTGAAATGGGACAAAAAAATCCAATACTCAGTATACACGATCAAGGAGCTGGAGGAAATGGTGAGAAGTGTTCTCGCGTTATCGTAATGATACGTAACAAGATGATAGTGTGCTATTGATTAATGTTTGAATTAATACTAGGTAACGTTATAAAAGAATTGGTCGAACCTGCGGGTGCTGTTATCTTCACAAAAAAATTCGAGTTAGGCGATCCAAGCATCAGTACCTTAGAGTTATGGGGTGCCGAATATCAAGAGAACGATGCGATTCTATGTAAACCAGAGGACAGTAATTTACTCAAGGAAATAGCAGCTAGGGAGAAATGTCCTATTCATTTTGTGGGAACCGTTACAGGAAATGGAAACATTATTTTATCCGAAGAAAGCGACTGCGACGCGTCAAAGTATTTAAATGAAAATCGTAAAGATAGCGTGAAGCATCCGGTTGATTTAGACTTAGACTTAGTGCTTGGTAAAATGCCTTCTAAGGTAAGTACGTAGATGACATGATACTTTCAATAAATAAATCTGTAACAAGATATAAATTGTAAACACGCTTTTGTAGACTTTCAATCTTCAGAGGAAGGTGATACAATTACCCTATTTCGCACCGCCAGCGAACGTAACTGTACAATCTGTTTTGGATAGAGTTCTACGTTTGCCTTCGGTAGCGAGTAAACGATACTTAACCAACAAAGTCGACCGTTGCGTTACTGGATTAATTGCACAGCAACAATGCGTTGGTCCGCTGCACACTCCTCTTGCCGATGTTGCTGTAACTGCGGTTTCTCATTTCGCTACGGTAAATAAACAATTAAATGTAATGTATACCGATTCTGTTGACAAGTTTTTGTTTACTTATATTTTGTTATGTAGGCTGGGATAGCAACCTCTATCGGAGAACAACCAATTAAGGGTCTCGTGAATCCAGCAGCTGGAGCTCGTATGACCGTAGCGGAGGCTTTGAGTAATTTAGTTTTTGCACGTATTTCAGACATTCAGGTATCAATTCTAAATTGATTAATGAGGAAAACATAGTTCTACTCAGCGTGGCTTACACATCACGATTTCAGGATGTCAAATGCAGCGGAAACTGGATGTGGGCTGCTAAATTGCCAGGAGAAGGTGCTGCGCTATACGACGCTTGTTCCGCTATGTGTTTGTTCATGAATGAACTTGGAATTGCAATTGACGGGGGAAAAGATTCTCTTAGCATGGCTGCTCGAATCGGTAAAGATGTCGTTAAAGCACCGGGAACGCTTGTAGTTTCTTGTTACGCTCCTTGTCCTGATATTCGACAGGTAAGTCAAATGTAATATTTTAGGCATATTTTTGTATCGTACCATCGTTGTCGTTATTTTATTCTAGGTAGTAACACCCGATTTAAAAGCCCCTGCAGCAGAAAAAACTGGTCGTATATTATTCGTTGATTTATCAAATGGACGGAGTCGAATAGGTGGCACAGCTTTGGCTCAGGTTTACAAATCTCTTGGTAACAATGTTCCGGATGCGCAGTGCCCCCATATATTAAAGAATGCTTTCAATGCCACGCAACGTTTAATCGCAGGTGATGCCGAGTAATGCGATGTGCTTGAATTATTTTCATTTATCTTAGGGAAATAAATCCTTCGTTTTCAATATTATTTGTCTTACAATAGAGGGAAAAGTATTAGCTGGCCATGATATCAGCGATGGTGGACTTATCACGTGTCTCCTCGAAATGTGTTTCGCTGGTATCTCTGGAATAAACATTAATATTTCTCATAAATTGGGATCGCCTATCGAAATCTTATTCACCGAAGAACTGGGATGGATATTAGAAGTCGATGAAAAAGATCACGGTTACGCGTTGGATGTATTTAAACAATTTAACGCTCCCGTGTACTTGATTGGTCGATCAGGAGGCTTCGGATTGTTATCAAAAATCAACATCAAAGTACAAGAAAAGACAGTTCTGAATTCGACAGTTATAACCTTAATGTCCATGTGGGAAGAAACTAGTTACCAATTGGAACGCCGACAGACGAATGTTGAATGTGCATTGGAAGAGTTCAACGGATTGAAAAGGAGAACCGCGCCGACTTACAAATTATCGTTCGATCCTAATGTCAGGCCTATCGAAATACAACGAAATATGTCTTGTTCGTAAACTTTTAATTCCACACGCATATCTTGTAAATAAGTTAGAATAAATTTTATATTTTGCATTATTTATCTAGCGAACATCATGGTTGCCGTGGTAAGAGAAGAAGGTATAAACGGTGACAGAGAAATGGCGGCATCGTTGATGCAAGCTGGTTTCGAAGTTTGGGATGTGACAATGCAAGATTTGTTAGACGATAAAATCGCGTTTGATAGTTTCAAGGGTATTGTCTTCCCTGGTGGTTTCAGTTACGCGGGTAAGTTACGAAATTGGACTTCTCGAAATAAAAATTAACCGACGTTAAATTAATCTCTGATTTCAGATGTCTTGGGCTCTGCCAAAGGTTGGGCTGCTAGTCTTTTGTTCCATCCATCTCTTCAAAAACAATTGAAAGCGTTTCTTTCTCGTGAAGACACGTTTAGCTTAGGAGTTTGCAATGGATGTCAACTGATGTCCTTGTTAGGGTGGATAGGAAACGAAACTGGTAACGTTTCATTTAATTGTAAAATGTATGTAGTTTGTGAAAAGCTGTGTTTATTTACTTTTTCCTGTTATGTTGCAGGTAATGCCGGAGAACCAAATATTTTCTTGGATCATAACGTATCAGAAAGATTCGAGTGTCGATGGAGCACCGTTCGAATTGACAAGTCACCATCGATTATGCTAAGTGGAATGGAAGACAGCGTTTTGGGTGTATGGATCGCTCACGGCGAAGGAAGATTCACTTTCCGTACCAATGAGGTTTTGAAAAAACTGAAAGAAAGTCACTGCTTGGCTATTAAATACGCGGATGATTACGGCAATCCGACTGAACGATATCCTTTCAATCCCAACGGAAGTACGGGTAAGAGTTCGTCGAATTTCCCTTTCGTATAATACATCGAAGATATATGTAATCTGTATATAATATTTCTGTTTTGTTATAGATGGAATTGCTGGCATTTGCTCTGCGGATGGTCGACACTTGGCAATGATGCCACATCCAGAACGATGTACGCAAATGTGGCAATGGCCTTGGAAACCAACGCGTTGGGATAAGTATATAGTTTCACCGTGGCAACGTATGTTTGACAATGCCTACGCCTGGTGCGTATCAAGAGATTAATATAAAACTGATTCTAATGCATTCCTTACGATTTCTACGATAAATGTAAATAACGATATTACATATTTTCTACGTAAACGAGTTTCTTAATTCTTACCCCATCTCTACGTGTTCTTTATTTACGATGACGCTAATATCTTTGATGTATTGGCGCTCGAAATTTTACGTGTTGCGGGGAGAACTTACAGAATAAAAAATTCTTTTATTTTCTACTTTTTTAACAAAGTATGGTAACATTGTGTTGTCAAATATTACAAAAAAAGGTAAATTACAGTTAAAAATTTGTTAATGTTTAATTCGTGTTATTTAAACGAATTCTGTCTAACTTTGAAAAGCTGATTCGATGGCGTGTATTGTGGGAATTGATTCGTATCGAAAATGTCTTCTAAATGCAAATTACACCGCAGTATCACGACTCCGGATGGATTCACTTTAACTTTTATTTTCGTTTGCGCCGTTAAGACGCCGTAGTTTACGTCTTCGTATAAATCCTAAAAACACGCACGATTAGAGAGATTTTTTTCACTTGAATTCAAGGAAAATTGAAAACCATAAATACGTACCTCTACGCTGTATCCTCCAGGATACTGTAGTCCAAGTTCTTTCAGTGTAACGGACACATCGGAGGGTGTACCGTCTGTTCTCCTATTTATGAACGCTATGGCGTAAGAGTAGTAATTCTGATAGACGGGAGTTATAGGCCTCGCCCAGATTTCAATACCTTTATGCTGAAAGAGCAAAACACGATTCTTACTGTTGCATTCTAAAACCTGTACTGTTGTTTTAATTTAATAAAAGCGTATATCGCTGTTGAAGATACACGTTACGCCGTGGGTAGATGCAAGCCTTGTAAGTTAATCTATTCGCATCTATCCGTTCGGTGAAGTTTGTTTTGCGACCTCGATCGTCAAGAAGCCAATAAATGTTAATATCAGGACACGTTAAATTTACTAACTTTGTAAATGCGTCGACCCTGAATACCTAACGGGTCTTGATCTACAGCAATAATTTTCCTATTTTGTAGAATGGCTTTGTACTCGGGTCTAATCGTTCGTAGATCGACGGACATCAATAGAGGCGCAGCCAGTATAGCCCACAATGCCATTTGCGTTTTGCTCTGTTCGTAACTCAGCCCGAAATTGCCGATAATTAACATATCGGGATCGTTCCAACGTCCGGGTCCAGCGTTTGGTACGATAGCGTCTTGATTGTTGCCATAATAATCTATGATCGTTTCTAAGCTATTCCACGAGTCTTGTATATCGTCAAAGTTTCTCCAAAGATTACAGTTTTCAGTTATAGAAGTATAGTTAGGCTGAAATTTAATACAATTAAGAATTTTTTTTAAAATTGTAAATATAAATTTAACGATAATACTACGACGTTTACTTTTGCGGTAGTATTATAATAATACCAACCTGCATACCAGCATAAATTTGATAAACTGGCCAACTACAAGAATAGACCATAGGTCGACCAGTTTGGTTTAAGTAGAATCCAAATTCTGGATACCCTGAAGTATTTTAGACATTATAAGACTAAATTGGCTTAGAATGGCATTTAAACTAAATAGGTAATTATTGTTTTTTTTTTTTATCATACCTCTGTCCATTTCAGATGGATGGGAATAACATCCATCTAATTTTACATAATCTACATCCCAAGATGCAAAAGTAAGAGCATCAGTTTCTAAGTACCCTAATATTCCAGGATAACCAGCACAAGTATAGTTACCAAAATCTTCATAGATACCAAACTTAAGACCTTTTGAATGAATCTACATAGTAGAAGAAAGGAAACGTAAGACTATAATTTGATCAGAAGAAATTCAAGAAAATTAGTAAAACCTACATAATTTGAAAGACTTTTCATGCCGTATGGAAATCTTTGTCTATCCGGTACAAGTTGACCATTAGCAGCTCTATCTTTTTCCAACCAACAATCATCAACATTAACATATTCATAGCCAACTGCAGCATATCCTTCTGCTACAATAATGTCTGCCATTGTGCGAAAGAGCCGATCACTAAAGCATGAAAATCAAGTTTTGAGCACCTTCATGAGGACACAGGTGCTTTTTCAAAATTGTTGCAAGTAATTTTCTTTATAATAAAACAGATATAATATAGTTAGATAAAATATGTAATAGCTACATATGTGATACTCTGTTAAGTGTAAAAACTCTCTAAAAGTGTTTCAGTTATTAACATGTTATTATAAAAACTACTTTTCTTTTTCAGAAGTACTTCTTAACACATGTACCATTTGTTAGTAATATAACCTTGAACAGAAATATAAATTTACATAACTATGACACAGCTCTAAATAGAGTTATTAAGAATCATTCCTGAGGTCACATTATTCTTGATGCACATCTTTAATTAGTTAATTCTTTTCTAATATCTTATGAAACAATAATAGCCAAAGTTTTGATTATATTATTATAATGATTAATCTTTAAATTTTCATACATCAAAATGTTAATGAATTTGTATATGTCCAATGTTTGTTTTTCAAGAAAAACATATTCTACATATTTTAATATCTATCCAACAACTAGAATTAATACTATTACTCTTCAGATTTAGAAATACAACAGAGATGCTAATGAAGTTTCACTTTATCATAAAGGATCATGTACCATAGAATCCTATTCAAAAAACTATACCATAGTACCGGTATAATATTCTAGAGTTAGAGAAGAGTGTTGAATCAATTTGACACTTAGATTTCAAAAAACTCAATGCAAAAAATGGAAACCAATTAAGTATATACTCTCACCTGATACAATTCTCAGGATCATTTTTGCAATCTGTGTTGCACCTAAATCGTTCCCAAGCGAGCCATCCCATCGGTGGTGTTCTCACGAGACCATTTTCAAGGGCCAATGTCAAATCTGCCACTGACACAAGCAAGCACCATATCCATACCATCTGCAACATTCTGCAAAAACGCACGTTTCTATTTACTATTCCCTTTCACTGACACGAACACTGAACCGATTGTTGTTGGCACTACCACACCGATAGCATAATTTTTTCAAAGAAAAATTTAACAAAATGACATGACTCTGGCGGAGTCTAGAGGAGATCTGGTCGTTAGGAGCAGAGCAAGATTGCCATCCACATCCTGCACGGCTCTTAGCAGACTGATCTGATATAAGACCTCCAAGCCCAAGAGTACTTTCACCCAATGCCCCATTTCATTTTTACACACAATCACTATCGTTCGTGGTGTGAGCATTGATTTCCTTTCGTACACATAACGAACGGCTTTGCACACTGACTCGCTGATCGCCGTTGTAACTATTACGGTACAATTACGCCTAGGTAAGACAATTGTGAGTATTTATCCGCGGATCTCCTTTGTCTTCGGTTACCCAGAATGATCGTGCTTTATCGTACGTGTTGGATTACATTTTATGTAGTACGTACTTCGTAAATTTCTTTAAATTCGACTCTACATTTGTTTATTCGCGACTTGTACTCTTTGTTTACGATACGTTCGATGTTTTAACCACAGACAAATTTGAACACGTGTCACATACGAGTGACAGCGCTGAGGGATCTACGTCACACGATAAGAGCAACAGATTTATATTTTATATTCGTATGAATAGTTCGATAAGCGAAATAAGAATTGTAGATCATGGGTACACTTCACTTGTACGCTGCATAATTAATAGAAATTAATGGAATGGCTGATAATGTACATGGACTCCGGAATTCGAGGGAACTAGACTTTGTAATTACTGTTTCAACATTTTTTTCGTAGAGTTCTGTTATAATAGTAAAAGGAAAGTCTCATGTTTGCTTTACGATAAACATTTTATAGATAGGTACGTTGAACAGCGTGCATTTTAACATAAGGGCCCTGAATTTGCTGGCTACACCACTGCTGTAAACATAGCGTGTTTTTCGGCGGGAAATGTTCTAACCACATGTTAGAAGCGAACCTCAATTAATTATCGTAAATGGTATGGAAAAAATAAGAATTACGTGGCAGTTTCAATGGTTTGCAATTAATAGAAAATTAATGGATGAATTAGAACTGTTTATAGGTGTACGCTAGTGTTTATATACAAGGTGCGTACGCCTTTGTACGTCATGATAAACTTGACATTTCAGTGGCTGAAGTGAATACCGAAGCGCCATCGTGAATTTCAACATGAAGTGAACGGAATGTCAGTTAGAATTATTATCTAGGTAAACATTTTCAACGAGTAGAAAATTGACAAACGTAGACCTGCAGAAAATGAATGAAATATGAAAAATTGACGACTGTTTTGCAGAACGTGCTTGTTCCTTGATTGCCACCGGTTTCGTGCTGGTACTACTTTCCATACTTTCATTTTGATTACCTAATCGAAAGGAAAAATTGATCACGCCGGAGATATCGATCGAATTTTCCGGTATCCCCTTATCGACTGACGATACTGTGAGCACACAGTAGAATAGTTAAAAATTATGATTTGGTAAATGGAGAAACGTAGTCTATGTAAATTATAATATGTAACGAGTGAGTTAAAGATGAAGTTTATTCGGAAAAAATAAAAAATTAAATTACGTCTTTACCGAAATCGCATATCGATGACTATCGTCGAATAATTGGTTGATTGCACGACGTGCAGCGATGTCAGCGTATTGTGCAAACAAAAAACAAACTGCACTGTTCGCAGATGCGCCTTCTATTTATATTCTCCCGTCAAAACCTATGCATCTGTACGTTTTCATCAGTACAAATTAGATAAGACCTGTTATCGGTCAAATTAGACGTTTTATCGCCCGTAATTTTTGTTGTTATTTCACAAATCCTCCCTGTGAGATTATATAAAAGATTCTCGTCGATAAAATTCTCATTTTATCGCTTCTAGACAATTGACAATTGGTTATCGCGAAAACAAACACGGATTTGCAAATACACTGTCTAATATTTGTCAATAAATTTGAGAGTAGCTGTGGCGTAACAAAATAAAAGTAATTCGAATGTATATTTTCAAATTCGTTGAGTGCAATATTGACGTTTGTCCTCGTTTTTATAAATTATCTCTTGTGTCGTGATTGTAAAGTAATTCTTTTTCATCGATAACATCGTCGAACGAAAATTAATTTTCGTGCACCGCGCAAATCCAGATCCGTGATTTCTGTATTTTATTTATGTAATCTGACACAATTAATCTGCATTGATAACATTACGATATTTTTAGATTGTTGTTCCGATAAGCTTTCCATATGATTATTTCTATATAATTTACGTATTAATGCTACAGAAGATAAAGAATTCACGCCAATTATGAATGTTCTTTTATCGATAAAATTCTGTGGATACACGGCGTGGTTTCTTTTGGATCATTAATTGTGGTAGTTTAATCGAGAAAGTTGTGAATTAAATTACTTTTAAATTCGAGAATAGCTAACGAGGTAGAGACCGCATTTGATTATTTACGAATATATTTCGATCGACGTGTACGAGTAAAATTATTCTAACCAAACTTTTCTCTAAACGTGTACGACATGTAGAGCTAGAGTTATTGTAGATAGAGCAGGGCCGTATGATCTCACATTTTTATACCATTTTTATGTCGACGGTAAATGGTATCGTTTATACTTTTAATAATTACGTATACATTTTATGTTCACGTGAATAAAACCATAGAGCTAGATAAGGTGCTGTTTTTTTTTTTTACTTTACAGGTGAGACGTTTCCATATCTAAGAACAGGTCTATGTCTCCCTTGTTCTATCTATAATCAAACATATGATTAAGGCAGGCCTAAATATATCAGTAAGACGGAAAACAAATTACACGTGTACACATTCTATAAGGTGATATTTCCATAAAAGTAATACAGAGAAATATCACCCTTTAGAAAACATGCACAAATAACTCGTTTCTCTATAAATACCTCTATGGAAATACTCCCTTTTCGAATACGTACGCATGTAATTTGTTTTCAATAATTCTGACATGTTCGGATCTGCCTTGAGGGTGGATAGTGGCGCCACGAGGCGTTTCACCACCGAATCATTCGTCCTCTTTCTCTCTCGCGTTGCACCCTTCTCCGTTAACCTCTTGCTCGTTCCCGTTCGCTCGGTAGCAGCGAACCCCCAACAATCCCGCAGCCACCGTCGAACGCGGGGCTGCTGGAGGGACGGTCTGTTTCATTCGACGAAGGGAAACGCGTGCATCACCCGGTAACCGTGCATATTTTTTTTCGCGTTTCGCCGCCGCGTATGACAACGGTTTTACACGGTTAATCTGTCGCGACCACCCCACCCCCCCTCCGTCCCGCCCTCCCGTTCCCCCGCGAATTGTCATGTGAGTAAACCGTCGCGCTGTTCCCCGACGTGTTATGGCGTGGAAGTGGTGGTCAACCATTGCAGTGCCGTCGTTTTCGTCCAACGATACCGGGATACATCGCCGCACCAACGTCGAGCCGTGTTGAAACTCACCCATCGTTGGAAACATGAAGATACCACCCCTGTCATGACCCAGGTACGCGATTCACGAACGACTTTTATTTCTTTATCAATTCTTTATCAATTCACCGCGAAATTTCCTCTCGCGTTCTTCTATTTCGACGTTGCGCTTCGTTTCGTCATAGCCCGTGACTCTTCTTTCGCGTTACGCATCCGAACGAACGCGAACATCGATTCGCGAGTGATCCTCCGTACTAGCGTCGAGTTTTAATACGTTTTTTTTTTATTTTCATTTTTTTTTTTTTTTTTTTTTTTATCGGATGTCACAACGTACAGTAAGTACATAGTATAGCAGCACATATTTTCCGACGTCGTTCTCATTTGGAATTTTTTGGTCCGTTGTTACCCTTTGATGTTTCTCGTTTCGATGGAATTGGCGGTGGTATCGCGACAGGGTGCACTTGCAATCTGTCGGTGCATAAGGACTACCGTGAAATCTTCCGCGAGATCAATGACACGAGATGGTGTGTTTCCGCGTCGTATTTATCGTTGAATTTGAACAATGTTGGAGGTGTAAAGTTGCGTACCTCGTGTTTATTCGAACGGTAGATTTCGGTGCCATTGACGCGCAAAGGGCTCGGGCAATATCGCATGAATGGGTAATGGCGGCAGTCCGAGACAATAATTTTAGATAGTGACACGCATATAGCGCTGCGATCGTTCCATTGATCCGTGTAACGTTCACGTTCCACATTTTCTCGTTACGGGTTTTCCGAAGTACTTTGGCGAAAATTCTCGATGCACTTTTTTCTTACTTCGAATTCTCGAACCTCGGAGTTTCCCAGTCGGCTGGTACGGGCTTGACGATCTTTCGCGGACTTGGTCGTGCTTAGGTCGTGCGTCGAGAAAGTGTAAACATTTTTCCAACGATGTCGATAATAATAGATCAGACTACGGTAATTACCGTCTGCGGACGCGTCGAATGCGTGCGTACGAAGTTTGTTGTGTTTATACGGAACCATGAGCTTCCACCTTGAATTACTTTTTATTACAACGCTCGACGTATACATCGCAAGTATGACGTACGCTTTCAAAGCGGGTACGTAATGTCTGTGTACTACGCGAGTGCGTCAATTATTCAGCGCGAAATATGCCCTGACGTGGACGCTACGATTCGTAAAACAAAAGTCAACGTTCATCTACCCAACAATTCCTGATAACTCCTGTTATCGCCAAGTACACAATGTCGTACTCGAAACAACCGCTCGATCGAATACTTTAAATACGGTTTATAACAAAGTTTCCACGTATGATAGTTTATATATCGGATGTTTAGACATTTCTGAATATTCCGGAGAGGTCCAAATCTAAGAATGTCAGTTTCTTTAATCAATTTAATTTTTTCGAATAATTCCTGTCTTTTACACCGCGTGCAATCGGTTTCGGTAGAGAATCGACGATATTCCCATCGATAAAAGCCCGCGACAAAGTCGCCAACGTCCTTTTCTTCCGTTTTTAGTGTAACGGAGTGAGCACGCGGATATTTGAATTAATAAAGAGTTTCTAAGAGCGCGACACGTGTTATCGAATGATCGTCACGCAGAACGCGCGGATGGGGGCTGATTGGCCGAAAAAGCGGCGTTATGCGCGATGACGTTCTTCATTCGTAGCCCGTTTTGGCTCTCACTATTTACCATATTTTATCTAGGGCGGCGCGGGTAAATCGATACGCGCTACTTTCATTCATGGCTGCCTCCCCTCACGGCTGGCACGTTGCCTCCGCGTACCACCGCCGGGACCAACCCTCCACGATTTCGTCCATTAGTGGCACGGCTATCTCTGTCGCAGTGATTCTCAAATTCCCGTTCCCCCTCCGTGGACACCCTCGCGCGGTATGACGTCACGGGAAGCGAATCGAGTCGCTTCGAACTACAATCGAATACGAAAATTGCTCGCGCCGTGCCGTTTATACTCTACCGTGACTCGACGATCTATCGGATCTATTTGTCGATCGAGAACATTGTAAACGTTGGAAATTACATCTGTGCCTTCACGTACTCGATCGTTTATCATTTTATCTTTCTAACTCTTTTACTGATCGCATTTTATAAGCTCGCGATCCGGTAACGCTAGTTTACAAAATAAAAAAAAAAAAAAAAAAAGAATGTACATTCGACGCCACGATTTTTTTTTCTCATGTACGTTAGCCTACCGAACTCGAAAATCG